GCCTCCCGGGTTTACGCCATTCTCCTGCCTCAGCCTCCCGAGTAGCTGGGACTACAGGTGCCCGCCACCTCGCCTGGCTAGTTTTTTGTATTTTTCAGTAGAGACGGGGTTTCACCGTGTTAGCTAGGATAGTCTCGATCTCCTGACCTCATGATCTGCCCGCCTGGGCCTCCCAAAGTGCTGGGATTACAGGCTTGAGCCACCGTGCCTGGCGCCGTTGTTAAAATTACGCATGAAGTGGGATCAGAGGAAATTATTAGGAAACAAAGAAGGCTGAAGCTCAGCAGGGAAAGTGTGAATGTGTGAACTCCTCCTGGTGGCAGTGACCTGAAGGGGTGGCCCCTGGAATCTGAGGGCCAGCATTTGCCATCCTTTGAGGTCAGGCCTCAGCCAGTCTCAGGAGGGTCTAGCCTGGGACCCCACAGGGAAAGGGGTCTATCACTGCTCTCTACAGCTGTCCCTCATCCTGAAGTCCGGCCCTTCACAACCCATCCCCAGTACCTGGGACGCTGCGTGACACACAGTTGGTCTCCAATATGACATAACTGAAAAACTGAAAATAATGGATTTGGGGAAGATGAAAGAAGTTCTGGAGATGGATGGTGGTAATGGGTACACAACAGTGTGAATGTACTTAATGCCGCTGCACGGTACAGTTTAAAATGGTTAAAATGGGCCAGGCGTGGTGGCTCACGCCTGTAATCCCAGCACTTTGGGAGGCTGAAGTGGGCGGATCACCTGAGGTCAGGACTTCAAGACCAGACTGGCCAACATAGTGAAACCCCATCTACTAAAAATACGAAAATTAGCTGGGAGTGGTGGCAGGCACCTGTAATCCCAGCTACCAGGGAGGCTGAGGCAGGTGAATCGCTTGAACCCAGGAGGTAGAGGTTTCAGTGAGCCAAGATCACGCCATTGCACTCCAGCCTAGGCAACAACAGCAAAACTCTATCTCAAAAAAAATAAATAAAAATAAAATGGTAAAAATGGTAAATTTCACAAGATGTATATTTTCCCACAACGAAAATAAACGGATGAGATCTAGTCTCATCTTCACCTGCTCTCTCATTAGTTCTCCTCCAACCCCCGACCTTTCCTAGGCTGTTTCTTTTTATCAGATCATGTTCTCTAAACAGGGAAAGGGCCCCAGATTCCATCCTGGGTCCCCTCCAATCTCTATGTTCCCTTTCCAGCTGGTATTACCAGGCCCTTGGCTTTTTTTTTTTTTTTTTTAAGATGGAGTCTCGTTCTTGTTGCCTAGGCTGGAGTGCAGCGGCACGATCTCAAATCATTGCAACCTCTGCCTCCCGGGTTCACGCGATTCTCCTGCCTCAGCCTTCTGAGTAGCTGGGATTACAGGAATCTGCCACCACACCCGGTTAATTTTTGTATTTTTAGTAGAGACGGGGTTTCACCATCTTGGCCAGGCTGGTCTCGAACTCCTGACCTCGTGATCCACCTGCCTCGGCCTCCCAAAGTCCTGGGATGACAAGCATGAGCCACTACGCCCAACCAAGACCCTTGGCTTTGATTCCAGCTGTACCCTGCACACTGTCAGCAGCCATGAACCCCCAGTCCAGGTGTCCCCCCGAGCCCCAGTGTGGACCCTAAAAGGCACAATGTGGTCAGAACACAGCTGCCTCCTCCTTGACCTGCTCCTTCCTCCTGTCTCCCCTTCTCTGTTAACAGCTGTTCCCCCAGATGCTCGGGTCTAATATCTAGGCGGGCCCTGTGATTCTCATCTTCTCTGGCCCCAACTTCCAACACATCAGCATATCCCACAGCTCTTCCTCCAAAGCACACCCTAAGCAGCCCAAGCAGCCCTCCTCCCTGCTCCCACCACCACGCCCTCGCGCAGCCGCCCTGGCTTCCTGCCTGGACCGCTGCAGAGGCAACCGCCCCAGCCCTCCCAGCCGTTCCTTCTCCTCACAGAAGCCAGAGCAATGATCCTAAATGAAACTCAGCTCAGCACACCCCAGCTCCAAATCCTCCCAATCCAGCACTCCTGGGTCACTGTGCACATTCCTCCTCCTTGGTCACGACGTCCCCAGCCACCTAGCTCCTGCCCACCCATCTCTGCCTCGTGCTGGACGCAGGACCCGCCCTCACTCACAGCCATCAGCCTTCTTCCTGTTTGTTTTCCCACCTCAGCACCTCTGCCCCTGGCTGTCCGTCTGCCTGAAAGCTCTCCTCCTGAACTTCACGAAGTCACATTCCCAGCTCAGCCTCCATGTCACCTCTTCTGAAAGGCCTTCCTGTCCCCAACCCCTGAAGTGGCCCTGGCCACTTTCTCCCACTCCTCGGATTCCTTGGCCAGCACCACCGCTTTACCTACACCCCATCCCTGGAGAGGCCCTGCTCACTGCCTGCTACCAGCTCCTAGGACAGGCCTGGCTCAGGGGCGCTGTGCAGCAGGGAGGGGTGAGCGACCAAACCAGTGGAAATTTGTGGTCTCACAAACGGAGCCCATCATTTGGAAAGATGCCAACAGGCAGAGTGGCAGAGGCAGGTGAAATTCATGGGGGAAGGGGACAGAGTGAACAAAGAACCACTACGGCTTATTGGGGGTGGGGGCGGCCTAACTGAATGGTGACCGTGGCCATTACTCCCCTCCACTCAGGGCTTGCAGCAGGGATATGGGCCACGTGTGTGCAGTAAGCCTGACCTTTAGAGACACAGCCCAACCCTTTGCCAGCACCCCCAGCCCACACTGCGCATAGTGTGAAACAGTCCTGCAACTCACCCTGAAGGAGGGGGGGAAATGATTTGAAAGTCACAAAAATATATTAAAACAGCAGCTGTCTTCACTCTAGGCACTGGCCTCCCTTCTCAGTGCCCCTTGCCCACCACCCGCCATAGACTTTCAGAGACAAAGACGCCCAGGGCAGGAAAACGGATGCGCCTCGGCCGCAGCCCAGGGTCTGGAGAGGTCCCTCCAGCCTGGGAGTGGAGGGTGGCTAACAGTCTCAACAGGCTCGACGCCACCGCCGACGAGGGGGCCGCTGGGAGGCCGGAGGTACAGGAGGGTCGGGCAGGACGCAGCGGACAGTCGGGCCTTGCCACGGGGACAGAAAACAGAAGAGAAATGAACAGAGTGAAGACAGGGAGAGAGAGAAGTCACAGCAGAGGCGCAGAGGAGTGAGGGAGGTCAGTGGGGAGTAGGGGAAGGGAGGCCCTCCAGGTGACACCCACTCAGTTGAGGGGGACAGGGAGGGCTGATAAGCTGGGGTCTGAGGCAGCAGACCGTGCTCGGGGGAGGAAGGGGAATACAGGAGAGGAAGAGGCCCCCTGGCACTTGGGAGAGGTAGAAAAGTAGGTTCTGCCAAGGCCACAGCCAGAGAAGAAAGCAAAGAGGACATGAGAGAAGGGGAGTCCTGGAGCGGGCCAGGCCAGCTGCGACGACCATCCCAGGCTAGGAGAAATGGGGTGATCCCCCGACTGCTCAGGCCTAGCTCTAGAGCCCGAGGGAGACAAGCTGTGTCATCCAGGAGCTGGTGGGAGGCGTGATGAAGCCAGGAGCCTGGGGCGGCCAGGGCAGATGCCCACGGGCTCTGCTGCCTGCACCCCGCCCACACGTGGGCTAGAAGGTCCTGCGGCCCAGTCTTTTGAACACGCTCACAGTGCCTGCGTGGTCCATCTGGGCACCAAGGCCCTCGCTGGAGCTGCTCCCCCGGGGCCCCACCAGAGTCCTCTTAATGGTGACCTTGACTTCAGCTGAGGACTTACTCTTGGTGCTGGTGACCTGGCTGTCCTGGGCCTCGGGCACAAGGGTAGCTGCGCCCAGTCTCTTGATGATGCTGACTTTAGACAAGGACTCCGGCTTCCTCTCAAGCCCGGACCGTGAGGAAAGCGCCAGGCGCCGCAGTGTCGGGGCAGCGGCCGTTGTCGCTGAGCTCGTGGCCTTGGCTTTGACAGTCAGTGCTGGCTGGGGACTGGCCTTGGCTGGGCCCCGTCCTAGCTTCTTCAGGACCCCGGCATACTGCAAGACAGAGCTGCTGCTGTCATTGTCGCTGTCCCAAGCCAGATCCTCGTCCGTTTCTGGGGTGGCCCCCAGGCGGCTGAAGACTCCTGTGGGCTGTGGAGGTCAGAGACAGGATGAATGAGTCACTGAGTCACTCAACACACATTCATGGAGAGCTGCTTCCTCTGTGCCTGGCCTCCTGGGACTCACAGTTGGGAGAAACACCCATCACTGACACCCCAGATAGTGGCGAGAGCCACGAAGTGGGGAGTCCAGGGGACTGGAGGAGCCCAGAGGAAGTACCTGACCTTCCTAGAAGTTCAGGGAGGGCTCCCTGAGAGAGGGCACATCTGAGCTGGAAGTGGGTCCAATAAAGAGGGAAGAGGACGGGAATGCCGCACAAAGGGAAGGTCATTTGCAAGGTCAGTAGGTGGGCATGAGTGGAGTGGAGAGATTAATCTGGTCATTCACTCCACAGATATTTTGAGTCCCAACTCTATATGGTCCTAGGCCGGCAGTGCTAGGGACACAGTGATGACCAAGACAGCCTCAGCTCTGCCCTCATGGGGCTCACAATCCAGTGGGGAAGACAGGCTTGGCATCAGAAATGACACAAATAATTCTGCAAGAACAACAGTAACGCCTTCTAGATGGAGAAGGAGAGCTGGAGGGCAGAAGACAGGGGTGGCTCCTCATCAGTCCAGAGGAACTTTCCCTGAAGCACCAACTTTGAAGCCAGGCCCTCCAAGATGAATTAGCAAAAAAAAGAGCATATGCTTTGCCCTGAAGGCAGGAAGCATAATCCTATGTATTGAGCACTCACTATGTGCCCAGCTCTTCATAGGGCTGGAACTTCCAGCCACATGATCCCGAGTGTTCCCATCCTCCTCATGGTAAGATTCTTGGAAGTGAGCAAGCCAGAGTTGCTGCACCCTGTGGAGCAGGACAGGAAACACAGCTGGGGAGCTCTGCAATAGTTCACCAACAGGCACCGCACAGCCCAGCGCCATGCAGGGATGATCTTAACCCTGCAGCCGTCCTTGGAGGTGGGTCTATACAGATGAGGAGGCTGAAGTACAAAGGACCTAAGTGACATGGCCAAAGCCACGCAGTCAGGCCCCTGTAGGCTTCAGGGTGTACTCTGAACTACACACCATGCCTGGGGCCTGTGGAACTGCAGGCCGTGGCAGGAAGTGCAGGCTGCATCATGGGCACAGTGAAAAGCCTCTGCAGGCCTTCCAGTTGGGGGACAGGCCCTGTCCTGTGGGCCGCACACACTGCTGCTGTGGGGATAGGGGGCTGGGGTCCATGGTAGCTGTGCGAGACCGTTCAGGAGGCTATTGTCCTATCCGGACAGGGAGAGTGGCAGAGGAGGGAGAGAACAGTAGAGTCATCAGACCCACTGACAGACTGCAATGGGGAGGGCAGGCAGCCCTCAGATGGGGGCCCAGGAGAGGACTAACTTGGGGAAAGACGCTAAGACCAGTTGGGGACATGGTGGGTGGGAGGCATCCAGGAGTCACTGGACCCCTAGGGCTGGAAATTGGGAGAGAAGCCAGGGCAGAAGACAGATGGGAAAGCCACCAGTGCAAAGCCAGGAACTGAGGCTGGAAAGGAAGGTTAGACGGCCCTGGGCTGAGTGAGGTCGAGATGTGTTAAGAGTCAGGAGCACCGCTCAGGGAAAACAAGAGCTCGCACGCACAGGATCGCTCCCCCATCCCCACTCACTTTACTCCCGGTTGTGGTGTCTGCCTTGGTCTCGGCGCCGAGGCGGTCAAACACAGACGTCCTGTGGAGACCTGGGAGGGAAGTGAAGCCATCAGGGAGACGCCCTGGTGGGCCAGGCCTAGGCTGAGCTCTGTACAGATACCAAGGCAGCCCAGACACCAGTAGCTCTGGGACAGGCAGGGCCAGACTGTGCTGAGTTGGATGTTATGTCTACACTGTTGGCTCACACTGACCTTAACCCAGCCCTATCTGGCTCGAGTCAAATGTGGGAAAGACCAGCTACAACTGGCAGATACCCTACACCTCAGCACTAGCTCATGAATTATGTGCACGGGAAGAGTTCTTAGTCCCTGTATGTTCCTTTCACTTCTTGGGGTCAGGGACCTCTGAGAGAATCCGATGAGCAGTAGTGCCTCCTCCCCTAAATTATAACCTAATAGCCATCAATAGAATGGTTAATAAATTATGGTATATAAATACTCTGGAAATAATAAACAACCATTAAAAAAAGAATGAAGATCTACCTACATTAATATGAGAAGCTCTCAACAAAAAAGTTATAGAACATGGGCCAGGCGTGGCAAGGTGCACCTGCTATCCCTTTGGGAGGCTGAGGCAGGTGGATCACCTGAGCCCAGGAGTTTGAGAACAACCTGGGTAATATAGTGAGACCCCATCTCTAAATATATATATATGAACAAAAAAGTTATAGAACAGGCCAGGAGTGGTGGCTTATGTCTGTAATCCCAACACAGTGGGAGGCAGTGGTGTGCAGATCACATGAGACTAAGAGTTGGAAACCAGAATTTAAAAATTAGCTGGGCATGGTGACCCAAATCTATAGTCCCTGCTACTGGGGAGGTAAGGTAGGAACCCAGGAGGTCGAGGCTGCGGTGAGCCGTGTTCGTACCACAGCACACCAGCCCAGGAAACAGAGCAAGACTCTGTCTCAAAAAAAAAAAAAAAAAGAAAAGAAAAGAAAAGTTAAGTCCGGGCACAGTGGCTCACGCCTGTAATTCCAGCACTTTGGGAGGCGAAGGCAGGTCAGGAGTTTGAGACCAGCCTGGCCAACACGATGAAACCCCATCTCTACTAAAAATATAAAAATTAGCCAGGCATGGTGGCACGCACCTGTAATCCCAGCTTCTTGGGAGATTGAGGCAGGAGAATCGCTTGAATCCAGGAAGCGGAAGTTGCAGTGAGCCGAGATTGTGCCACTGCACTCCAGCCTGGGTAACAGAGCAAGACTCCGTTTCAAAAAAAAAAAAAAAAAGTTGTAAAACAATACTTACATTTTAAACACACACTATTTGTGTTTAAAAAAGAAAAACTAGGCTGAGTGCAGCGGCTCACACTTGTAATCCTAGCAATTTGGAAAGGTGAAGCAGGCAGATCTCTTGAAATCAGGAGTTCGAGACCAGACTGGGCAACATGGCAAAATCCCGTCTCTACAAAAAATACAAAAATTAGGCGGGCGTGGTGGCATGTGCCTGTAGTCCCAGCTACTCGGGAGGCTGAGGCAGGACTACTTGAACCTGGGAGGTCGAGGAGACTGGAGTGAGTCGACAAGGTGCCACTCAGCGTAACCCAGCCTGGGTGATGAAGTGAGACCCTGTCTCAAAAAAATAAAAACTAAAACTAAAAAATAAAAAACTGCCTATATATGTGTATATGTACGTACATAGATGCTGGTCTGGAAAGGTTAACAAGAGACGAGGATATAGGAGTGAGGGAAAAGAGTTTGTTTTTACTGAATATGTTTCTGCATCATCTGAAAGTGCTGGAGTTACAGGCGTGGGACACTGTGCCCAGCCTTTCTAATAGAGACAGGGGCTCACCATGTGGCATGCTTGAACTCCTAGGCTCAAGCACTCTTCCCACCTCAGTCTCCCAAAGGGCTGGGATTCAGGTGTGCGTCATCACGCCCAGCCAAGAGATTATCTCTGTACTCCAAGTCACAAGGCCTAGCTTTGGACTGTGTCTCCACTCGTCTCCTCTGGCTCATAGTAATGGTGCCACTTTGGGATAACTGCCCTTGGCCAAGCACAGCCACTCATTTTACAGCAGGCTATCACTCCATCCTTGCTCCTGCCCCTTAGGGAAGAGGTGCCAAGGAGACCAGCTATACTAACTGCAGGATCAGAGGGCAGAAGTGATGTGTTTCCCTCCTCTGTGGCCACCATCACTGTTCCCTTGGCCTGTGGCTCCTGCATCCCCGTTAAAGCCTGCTTCTCAGCCACTGTAAGATATGACGGGCCCTGTGTGATGCAGAGGGAGGGACACGGTCCCCACAGGAAAGTGTGCCGCTGATGGGCCAGTACCTTTTGCAGCCTGCTGCTGCTCCAGGATCTTACGGGTGCGGGGTGTGGTGCCTTTGGGCATGTTGATGACGTACTTCCCCTCCATCTCAGCAGTGACCCGGCGCCGCTTGGCAGGAACAGCCAGGCTCTCCTCCTCCTGGCAGGCCAGGGCTGCTGGGGGAATAAAGCAGGGGTATCAGCACTCTTTGAGACAAAGCGTTCTCTCAGGATGGACGCTGGACACTAGGTATCCTTTATCTCCACACATTCACGACTGGAATCCCTTATCTTCCCAACCACCCACATCACCACTGACTGAACCACTGAGAAACTCAGGTCTGCGCAACATGAGGTCACAGAAGGTGCTCAGAATCCCCAGGTCCCCAGGCTGTGGCAGGCCTCCCAGGCTTTCTGTGGCTCTGTCCCTGTTCCAAGCAGGTTCCTGGCCCAGCCCAGCCCACGTCCCCTCGGATGGGGAACCTGCTGGGTGGTGGAAAGGTTCTAGAGCTCCAAGCAGGCAGTGCTTTATGGCTGCACTCACTTTTCAACAAGCACTTGAGCTGTGTGTACATTTATGAGTGGTGGATTGTGCATAAATTACACTTCAATTTAAAAAATGAATCCCCTCAAACGTGTTAAGGGTTAAAAGAGTCAATTGCTCCCGGGCTCACCATCTTCTTCGCAATACTTTGTTACACTGATTTTAACTTTTTTTTTTTTTTTTAAAGACTGAGTTTTCGTTCTTGTTGCCCAGTCTGGAGTGCAATGGCACGATCTCAGCTCATTACAACCTCCACCTCCTAAGTTTGATTCTCCTGCCTCAGCCTCCCAAGTAGCTGGGATTACAGGCATGCACCACCACGCCCAGCTAATTTTTGTATTTTTGGTAGACATGGGGTTTCACCACATTGGTCAGGCTGCTCTCAAACTCCCGACCTCAGGTGATGCACCTGCCTTGGCCTTCCAAAGTTCTGGGATTACAGGTGTGAGCCACCACGCCCGGCCTTTTTTTTTTTTTTTTTTTTTAATGTAGAGATAGGGTTTCGTTATCTTGTGCAGGTTAGTCTTGAGTTCCTGGGCTCAAGGGATCCTCCTGCCTCAGCCTCTCATAGTGCTGGGATTGCAGGCGTGAGCCACCACACTCAGCCTGATTTTAACTTTTTTGCTCATGGCACACAAATCAAAGGCCAGAAGAGGGTGAGGCATTTCCAAACCTGCAGGACAAAGGGGAGATTTTGTGATGGAGGTGCATGGGGCGTGATGGTATTGCATGTCAGAAACATGAAGCGCCCTGGGCCTCAATTTCCACATTTGCCTTATGACACCATGAAGTCATTGCTGTGGGGATGGGTCCAGCAAAGGCATAAGAGCATGGTGGATGGAAAGGCCTGGGAGCCCAGGGACTGCAGGCCCATTCCCAGCTCTCAAGCTGAGACTTGGAGGAGGACAGAGGCCAACATAGAGCAGTCTGGGGAGGAAGAGTGCTCAGGCCAAGGGGTCACCAGGGGCAAAGGCCCCATGATGGGAAGGAGGCTGGAGGGGAGCAAGTGGGCATGCAAAGTGGGGCGATGCAAGAGCTAAATCCACATGATGCAGGGCCCTACAGACCGTGTGGGGAAGATGCCCTTTATTACTGGAATAATGGGGAGCCCCAGAGAATTACAGCCCAGGGGGTTACAGGATCAGACTGAAGGGTTTCAAGGATCCCTTGGCTGCTAAGAGGAGGCAAGAGGTTCTTTGACCTTTGACCCAGGCATTAAGCATCAAGCATCAAGCATCAAGCACAGAGCTGGGCACAAGCTGGGGGCTTGGTGAACACTTGTTCACAAATCCTGAACCCCTGAGTGAGAAGGCAATGCACACATGCCTCAACATACCAACTCAGGTGCTTCTGTCCATCCTCCTGGGTGGGGTATCGCCACCCCCCATGCTACAGATGTAGAAAGTGAGGCCCACAGATGTATGGCAACTTGACCAAGTTTACAGAGGTGATTCAGGTTCAAATGCTTTGTATACCTTGTGGCCTTCAAAGCACCTTACAGTATTGGAAGCATGACCCCCAGCACCTCCTACCAACCCATGTTCCCCTCCAGCTCCTCCTACCATCTGCCCGTGTTCCCTCACCAGTGGCCTTGGCACTCTTTGCTGCCATCTTGTTGGACACGGTGACCGAGATCTTGGAGGTGCTGGTGTCTGGGCGCCTGGGGGGTGTGCTGGGTGGGGAGTCATGGTTCAGGCTGTTGGTAATCATTCGGGAAGCAGCTGTGGGGAGAAAAGGAGAGTCCAGTGGGGTTGGGGCCTGGAAGACAGGCCTCAATCCAGCAGTCTCAGGGTCAGGATGGAGAAGGTGAGGCTTGGGGCTGAATGACGTCAGCAGGTGTCACCTGTGGCTGCACGGTCCTCGTGATGGGGATGCTTGGGGGCAGGATGGGCTGCATCTCCCCAGGAACTAGCCCATCCCTCCCTACCCTGGGAGTCTTTCCTGAGGCTCTAGACCACACTAGTTCCCATCACACCTCACCCATCAGTCACCCAGCCTCGTGCTGAGTTCACTTCGCCCCTCCCAGAGCTGCTTCAGCTATGCTGGTCTCCAGGATCTTCCTCACCCAGCAAGCAGGCGCCTCCTCAGGGACCCTGCTGTTCCTTCTGCCTGGCATGCAGTTCCCCGAGCACAGCAGGATTGCTGCGTCTCATCATTCAGACCTCCACTCTGATGGCAACTCCTCAGAGAAAACTTCCCTGACCACCCCATTAAAAACAGCACCTCCTCAACCTCTATCACCCTTGCCCACTTTCATTTTCTTCACAGCCCTTACAACTGCTTGACATTAAACTCTATTTGTTTACTGGTAAACTCACTCACAAGAACGCAAGCTCCACGAGGAGGCCGTGTCTGTTTACTGCTGTATCCCAGTGCCTAAAGCAGTTTCTGAGGACAGGCACAAGGGCGCATGCCTGTAATCCCTGTACGAGGAGGGTGGATCACTTGAACCCAGTTCAAGACCAGCCTGGGCAACATGGCAAAATTCCGTCTCTACCAAAAATACAAAAAAATTAGCCAGGCGCAGTGGCATGTGCCTGTAGTCCCGGCTACTCAGGAGGCTGAGGCAAGAGGATCACTTGAGCCCAGGAGGTCAAGGCTGCAGTGAGCTGTGATCGCACCACTGCACTCCAATCTGGGCAACAGAGAGAAACCCAGTCTCAAAAAAAGGAGGAAAAAAAAAGAAAGAAAACTACATTAAACCATCACAGACCATTTAACAAAACATGACCCCCAAGTACCCATCACCCAGGTCAGGCATCAGGATGTTGTTGGAACCCAGAAGTCCCAGGACAGATCCTTCCCTATCAGACCTCCTCCCTCTCTGCAGGAAGAAATTCTTGGTGGTTTTTTGTTGTTGTTGTTGTTTTTTGAGACGGAGTCTCACTCTGTGGCCCAAGCTGGAAGGCAGTGGCTCAATCTCGGCTCACTGCAAGCTCCGCCTCCCGGGTTCACAGCACTCTCCTGCCTCGGTCTCCCGAATAGCTGGGACTACAGGTGCCCGCCACCACGCCCGGCTAATTTTTTGTATTTTTAGTAGAGATGGGGTTTCACTGTGTTAGCCAGGATGGTCTCGATCTTCCGACCTCGTGATCTGCCCGCCTCAGCCTCCCAAAGCACTGGGATTATAGGCATGAGCGACTGCACCGGCCAATTCTTGGTTTTCAGGCCTGTTCTTTCTCCTCTCTTAATGATATACCCCAGTGCTTCTTCAGACATCTCTCAGGTTGGATGGGAGGCTTTATGTCTAGTGGCTGCAAACTCTCTGGCTATGCAGAATCTGTCGTGTGAGAGCCTCCATTCACAACACTCTTCACCTAGCTGAGTGCAATAAGAGCAGGATTTTCTGCTATAAAAAGCAAGCTGTTAAGAGGGCCCTGCCTCTCGTGCTGTACCCAGAGGGAAATGCGCAGCTGAAAAGATGTCAGGAATGTGATGCTTTATTGTCATGACAGGCAAGTCCCATTTGGGTGGCAGTTAAGCAACCAACTCTGTCTTTACTCTGTTGCATTTGAGTTGCAGTCAGGATATCAGAGTACAAAGAACTGTTCTCTTCCCCCTCCTGACAGACACACATTCGATGTTCTAACGTGTGTAAAAGTGATCCTAGGAATGTTGTTTTTGGAGCACTTCCCACCCCTCTCCTTCTTTGCCTGTTTCCCCTTCTCATTTACTTATTTTATTTTCTCTCGTGTTTTTTTTTTTTTTTAGACGGAGTCTGGCTCTGTTGCCCCTGTCTGGAGTGCAGTGGCACGATCTCCGCTCACTGCAAGCTCCGCCTCCTGGGTTCACGCCATTCTCCTGCCTCAGCCTCCCGAGTAGCTGGGATTACAGGCGCCCGCCACCACGCCCGGCTAATTTTTTTGGTGTATTTTTAGTAGAGACGGGGTTTCACCATGTTAGCCAGGATTGTCTCCATCTCCCGACCTCGTGATCCATCCGCCTCGGCCTCCCAAAGTGCTAGGATTACAGGTGTGAGCCACCGCGCCCGGCCCTCTTTT